AATATGTTCCCCGCAAACTAAAACTATAATCCTTGAAATGTGCCAGATGATGCCGTAGCATCCAAAAAGTGAAATCAAACAGGAAGCCTCGTAGAAGCTAAATTACGCTCATGGGTACTCCTCAGCCCACGGCCACTCCCAGAGGCCCATGTCCAATGTGACGTGGCTACGCTATGAACCTTGAGTTTCGCGTACTCGTCGCTTGGGATGTTGTGACACAACGGCTGATCCTGCCTCTCTCTTCTCTTTCTTTTGGAAGTTGTTTCACTTACTCTCTCGTTTTTACACATTTTTTGATTTTATTATGCATGATACGAACGGAAAAGTTGATGTGTGGTTGCAACTTGGTGTTTATTGCTTTACTGGTACAAGGTGTGCTGATACGGAGCGGTTTTCACACCAGCAGTCCGCTTGAAAGCCGCCTACACTTCATGTTCGGATGGATGCAGTACGATGCTCCCTTACTGGGTGGTGATGGGCTTTAAACGGAAGACAACTACTGGTTTAAGTAGCGTTTACTATTGTTGCTAAGTCTGCTCAGTTGAATCATTCTGCATTCATTTTGCTCATTACCACTTCAAGGAGACTCTTTATGTCACAATAAGAGGTCAGAATTTCCGTGTGAGCTTCTCGTCGTCGCAAGGTGCTCTCTTCTTTGAGTCTCCACTGATTCAATGCAAAAAGCTGTATAAACTCATCATTTATCTTCATTTCTCTATAATTTTTGGAATGGAATTACATGATTTTGTATCATTTCATTCAAAACCGGTCAATTTTTAGTTGGTAATTCCCTTTGAATTTTCACCGAACGTACATTTTTGATATTGTTGCGTGCAATCTGTATGGTGATAATAAAGCTATGAAGATGAAAAAACCAACAAATGTTCCTATGGTTCATCTAATGATAAGGATACGAAGCTATGTCAAATGGGAATAGTGGCCTCCGAAGGCGAGAGGCCTGATTGGATCAAGAGAGGACCATCCAGCAATTGCAAGCCCTGGCGAAAACAAAAACGCATGGAAGCAAGTGAGTGAATTCTGCAACCAGGTACCCAAACGACAAAACAGTCGCATTGCGATCTGCTTGGAAATATGGCAGTCATCACGTTGAACCTGTGCCTGTCCACCTGGATTGCCCGCAGATGTTTTCCTGCAACTGTGGAGGAAGTTGTTGTGAAGCAAATGATCTTTCGAACACTTTAGTGGTCGATCTTTATTTGAGAATATGGTTTTCCGTCTCCGTGATCGACTACGTAGCGTTTTTCTTATTCGCTGCTCTAGCTGGACAGCGACAATAGCCAGCGTCTTCGCCTGGCCGTCCCTGATCACCATAGTTGCCAACAGCTCCGATGAATCCAGGCATTCCTTAAAGTCAGTATTTTCTTTCAAGAAAAGCATAGAAAGCGATAACATTAATTCCTTACCAGGTTTTCCTGCTGGTCCAGGTTCTCCGATTGGGCCGATGCCACCTGGTTGTCCAGGTGGTCCAGAGCTTCCAGGGTAACCCCGCGGACCAACCAGCCCTTTGAGTCCTGGTGGCCCAATAGGGCCCTTTTCACCTCGAACGCCTTCTGCTCCAGGAGGTCCTTCTTCGCCGTCCTTTCCTGGCTCGCCCATTGGACCCATTGGTCCAGGTGGTCCTGCTGGCCCGTCGCTTCCTGGTCGACCGCTTTCCCCTTGTGGTCCCTCCTCTCCTGGCAAACCTTGTGGGCCAGGTTGACCAGGGTACCCTGTAATACAAATGTATAACCATTGTCGCCTACAGCCTCATGGAAAAATGTGTTACCAATAGGTCCTTGAGGTCCTGGTGGGCAGACGCGGCAACCACTGGCACTCACTTGTACTTGAGGCACGATTCCTGGGAGACCAGGCTCTCCCGGTGTTCCTGGTTGACCAGGAACTCCATCCATGCCATCAAAGCCTGGGCGGCCTTTTTCGCCAGGGGGACAGTTGTTCTCAGTGTTACAATCTGCAATTCATTTCAATAGCTAGCATTTTTACATTGAGTTCATAGTATTAACATAGTTCTATGTTGATTGTATAGTAGGAGTTGGGTAACAAATACTACTAGTATTATAATACAGTAGTGATTGCGACGTACACCCATAATTGCCGAAGTACCCCTCAGTAATATGTGGTACAAAAGCATTTGCAAGCAACTTGGACCTAGTGGAGGAAGCCGCAGAAGTTTGTGACATTTTCAAACTTTTTTGCCATATTCATTTTGATCAAATGCAGTAAGAAACATATTAACTGTAAAGGCTCGTCAATATTAGAAATATTACATAACTACACTATTATAACATATTGAGTGTGCCAAGGCCGAAGAAGAGGCGAGCTCCTATATGTGACATTGTGCAGTTGATATCGTTGCAACCACTGGGGATGGTTTCAGAAGCCCACCCGCGGCGTCCCAGCCACTGCTTGATTTCTTGCTTCCCTAAGCGACCATTACTAGTAGAGCAAGGCAGCCGGAGGCAGGCTTCACAGTTCCTGACACCGCCCCGACTGATTCTAACATTATCAACTACAGGCCCTTCAGCATTGCGCTCGTACATGAAGGCGGGCCTGTGAAAAACAGGGGAAAGCCGTCAAAGTCACTTTGCTCATGAACCGTGCTAAATATCCTTCTGCTGAGTAATGGTGGCAGCTGACTCTGTTCATTCAAAACGAGCACTGATCTTAACCATTGCATTTTTAGAACCCAGAAATTCGATATGCCTAGGATCCCAGTGAATCGGCGGTCAACTTCTTTCGTAGCGTTGAAGCATGGAGAGTTCCTTGACCTATGGCGAAGCTCTACAGACAGACAGATCGCTGGTATCTGTGACCGTCAAAGGAAGTGCCCTAGACATGCACGCGAGCGCCTCCACCGTGAGAACTACCCATGTTGACAAAAGCGTTGTAGATCTTGTTGAAGACTAACTGTACACATCACCTGGATCCGCTCGTTTAATGTGCAATAGTGTCTGCCGTACTGCACATAAACTGCCACTTACCCGCTCAAACTGCGGGAATGGGGTGCGGAGTGATGGCAGCGGCCCGCGCCGGCACGCATGTGTGCCTTTCTATTACCTCGCCATGGCTATCCAAATGAGCCACACTTCCACTTCAAATCAAATCTCGCAAGAGCAGCCGCAGACTACGAGTAAGTCTTTGACAGTAGGAAAAAAGTCTAAATTGCAGCGGTGCAGACATTCACAAGCGCCCTACTCCCCCCCCCTCGCATAGGCGAGGAGACAGGATTAGCGGAAGTAACGGCGTTGACTAGCAGGTCGTCGATCGGGACTTGACTTATGCGTGAGATACGTCACGACAAAGGGACGGACTCATGAACTGAAGAACGAGGTGCAATCTATTATGGAAGAAGGAGATCTGTTCTGCCATGAGGATATTTCTGACGCCTCTCCGTGTCAAGTTGAAGTGGGACCTGAAGACAATAGCTAGTCGAGGAAACTGGGTGCACCACTTCATTTGCAACTTAGGCTGGATCTAGAAAACACGGTCGCATATGAATTATCCAAAACCCCCGCACTTTTATACACCCTCAACTCGCCTTCATCTCCGCTATAGATCTCGGAAGTCATTGAAACTTCCAAAGGGTTCTCCTTCCTCAACCAGACCCGCTGAAAAATGCCTGCCAGCACTGCTTTGTTAAGTTCTCATTTTGGTCAGCAGTATTATAAGAGTTTTGTACTGGAATTAGATTGCTAGATAGTTAATTCCATACCGCATTCGCCTTCCGTTTGACGCTTAGTGACCTTACGAACCGGGGAGTCGTTCTTTGCCTGCTGCAGGTCACTCCAGATCTCCGTCTAAAACTTTGTGATCTGTATTTAAGGCAGAATACGAGTTTCTGAACAGCAAGTACAAACCAGCAATTGTTCCTCACCTGCATTACATTGAATTCATCCATGTTCCTTGACAGTCGGTCCTGGATGGATTGCACTTTTGAGAGGAACATAGGCATATAGAATACGGTAACAAGTACACATATCGAGGATAGCCCTATGGCCGCGTAAGCAGCTACATGCGCCGAACTCATCGTTGCGGACTGAGAAGCTGAACGTGGTGGAGCAATTCTCACCGCCTGGCCACGCCTACTTTGCGAAAAGACTGGAAATGATCGGCGGCAAGTACATGACGAACCGCTGTTATCTATCAACCGGCCGGTTTGCCTCTCTGCCTTCTACTGTGTCTTCCTTACCGGTGCGTCGCCGGCAAAAACTTCGTCAAACCACCGGCCATAAACCGGCGTCTCCTCCTATCCCCTCTCTTTCTGGGCATTCATGTCGAATCGTAGCCGGATTCACACGATCTGAAAGGCTATTCGGCCGTCAACGGTGGTCGTACATTTTTATGAACATGAGCAGGTTTTTGCAGATTTATGTGCGAAAATCTAATTACAAAGCAACAATTATACGTGGGTACAGGGATTCGTCGCCTAATTCATTGTGAATGTGACCTATGGCGGAGATATCCAAAACACGGACCGGTTCACGAAAGTGAATCATCTTCAGCGGGTGTTATTCCTGCATTTAGTCCAAACTTTGGGTTCATCTCATTTTCACATGCCGTTTTCATTTGCACAAAGTTGTCCAAACTACGAGAGCTAGAGACATCCCCTCTTAACAACATTCCTGAATCTCCGTCTTGTTCGAGGGTAATGAACCCCTGGCTGGGGTACATTATGGCGTCATGTTCTAGCGAAGTGGCGAACAGCCAGTACTTTCAACTAACTGTCACAAGTCCTTTTCCCTTTCACCCCACTATGGGCTTGGCGCTTTTGTTCTAATAGACTTTCCCAACCTTCGCTACGTCATTCGTTATTCCTCTGCAGCCCCGCCAGCTAGCGCAGGATCGGAATATCAGGAGACTTTCACTACGTGTAGTATCGAGAGACTTTCATTGTTCGTGAGATCGGGATACTTTCGCTGTTTCGAATTGTTCCTCATAGGGGGGGAAACCTCGTGCATAGTCTGAGCTGAGAACTC